ACTAAAAATTAAATAAGTGCTATTATTTAATGTAATTATGAAAACAAAAAGGTAAATAACAAAAAAATATTTTACACATAAGGAAAAGTGTATTTCAAGGATTAAACACTCATACGGCAATGAGTGAAAAACTAAAACTACGACATCTAATCACTAAATAGGTAACAGCGGTTAAAACGATGTATTCTTCAAAACAAGACCTTGAAACGGTCAGCAGTTAGCTAGTAATTTCAGTTAATTACTTCCGGATTAACTGGAATATAACGTGTTTTGGGTGTGTTCCATTTTACATAGACTTATCTAAGTAAGTTCAAACAAACAAACCATAATATAGGTAATTATCATGGGAAAAATTTAGATTAAAATATTACTTAGAAAGTAAACATGCAGTAATGAGGATAACATATAAACATTAAAAATTCAATAAAAACACTAAACATACGTATCATACATACCCAATGGAATTTACATTTCTTAGAAAAGTAACACTGATTATACGTAAAGTTTAATTATTTTAGTCAGAATGTTCTGATAGACCACTTACTCAAGTCTTGATCCCTAGTAATTCGGCATTACGATTAAACTAAATTCAGGGTTCGATACCTAGACTGATAGACTACTTACTCAAGTTATGATCCCTAGTAATTCGGCATTACGATTAAACTAAATTAAGGGTTCGATACCTAGACTGATAGACCACTTACCCAAGTCTTGATCCCTAGTAATTCGGCATTACGATTAAACTAAATTCAGGGTTCGATACCTAGACTGATAGACCACTTACCCAAGTCTTGATCCCTAGTAATTCGGCATAACAATTAAGCTAAATTCAGGATTCGATACCTAGACCGATAGACCACTTACCCAAGTCTTGATCCCTAGTAATTCGGCATAACGATTAAGCTAAATTCAGGATTCGATTCCTAGACTGATAGACCACTTACCCAAGTCTTGATCCCTAGTAATTCGGCATTACGATTAAACTAAATTCAGGATTCGATACCTAGACTGATAGACCACTTACCCAAGTCTTGATCCCTAGTAATTCGGCATTACGATTAAGCTAAATTCAGGGTTCGATACCTAGACTGAACACAGCACCGATAGCTAATTATTCAGCTTTCTGCTTAATAGTGAAACAAACATAATTTCTCAATATATTTCACACAATGTACTTGCTTAGACATTTCTTTGTTTATAAGTGTAAGTTAGGAATACATAACAACTACTAGCAGGAAAGTTATTTCAAATGTACAGATTAATATATCAGATTTCATTTCTCACATATCGATTTTCACGATTTTAGCCTCCCATATATATAATTTCAAATATTGAAAAAAGAACAACATAATATCAACTGCATTACCCTCTAGAAAATTTAAAGTATTAAAAGAATCATATTTCAAAGTCTGTAATGTTTGAAGGTTAGTTATCTGGGAGAAATGAAAATGTCTATCTGCAATATACCGTTGAACTCAATCTGTCCTTACAGCTGAGCGGTATCATAACTGTGAGAGTCAGTTCCACTATTCGGTTAAAAGTAGCTGTATAGACGGCGGATGCTGCTGATTTGTTAGAACCCAACTCTTTGGTCAGAAGCTCTGAAGTACATACTATATACTAAATACTGCTGTCTTTAGCCTGGCCTTTTATCCCATGTTAGCTTAAGATACCGTTTAAGTTGAAACGGTGTCTTAGATCAGCTACCCAAGCCATCTTTATTCTGCAAAACATTGGCTATGACTTTCGAATAGTTTTCAAACTATCTCATTTTAAGTTAAAGAAAATTATTGCAGGAGCAAAGAAACAAATACAATTTAGAAACATGTTACAAAAATATTTGAAATGTATTTTTCGACACAAATAATGAACGTCGGCTGTCACCTTACGAGCTACTTTAGCCGGAGTTTGAACAACATGTCACAATACTAGTATAACAACCAAGTAGCAAGAGCTTAGTGTCACCATTCTGTTGAACTACGTGCGAAAATTAGAAATTCAAGATTAAAATAGTTAAACTTTGTTTAACGCGCACCCTACCTATACACCCACAACAACAACAACAACAACAACAACAAAAAATCATGTCAAAATAATCCGCTCTTCTCCTCCCCTAGACCACCTACATAATACAAATATGAGTGACACTTCGTGTTTGACTTTGGTCAGCGCTCTCCAGACAGCCTACCGGTTGTCATGGGAACGGATTATTCAGATGACTAACTTTTTGTAATCAGATTTTGCCATAGTTCCAGAGGGACATTCTCAATAACTAGTTTGTCAGGTCTACGTCTATATAAACTACGTCTGTGGTAGTAGACTAAACGTGTTTTTTTTTTCTCGACAGATTCTGGATAGACAACTCGCACTAGCATTACTTGTTAAGCCCTGAAAATAACTACGCACCTGTCCGTTAGGCGGAGTTTATGAACGGAAACGGAGCAGCACATTCTAGACTGCTGATCTACAGTTTTCTCGAATGAAACCCAGCGAGCAGTTGTTTCAAATTGTCAAATCCATTGAGATGGTTGATTTTCATGATGTAAGTATTAATCAGTTTCATTAAGCATTAGTTTTCATCTTTAATAGACATAAGTACGTATATATTAAGTTAGTTTATGAAATTCAAAGGCTTTTGATGTACACCCTTCTTAATCATTAGATTTGAGTTCCGTTTAGCATACTAATCAATAAGGTTTAACGTACAGTTTGTCAACTCGTTTTCCTGCCTTATTCCTATTATAGTTCAACATGGAAGCTATAATTGACTTATTTTGAGCAATTAAAAATAGTATTTAATTGCTGAGAATAAACTGGGATTTCAGTAGTGTTTTAATTTTTTGTTGAGTTTTCATAAAACTCTTAACATTTTTACAACATTCTTGTGTGTTTACGTTAATATACCACCAGCTAACTTCTTCATTTATTATTGTATCAGATGTTTCCCCCTTTTAAACATTTCCAGTTAAAAATTCATGTTGCTAAAAGTGACCATTGTGTTTTGAAAGTGTCCTGGCTGTTAACACGTTCCAAAAAACAACAAAACCTTGCGACACGGTTCAGTAATCTTTCTTTTAACATTAACATATATATATATATGTTTAAAATTGATGATATTGCAGTACATGTTCTTAGGATTTAAATCATATTTATAGCGTTTTCACTTTATTTGAATATTTTAAAAGATAGTTTATATCAATGTAACTTTAAAATTCCACACAAAAATATTTAAATTTCGTGGTTCTTTTTCTGCGTTATTGGTTTTAATGGCTTACATCAACACTAAGATTTTTACACGTTATTTCCTATAAAGTAGATTTTTAAACATTAAACAATTTTTTGTTTCTTTCAGATTGCTGTATTATTGCAAATTAATTTCTCTTGAGAAATTTAGTTTTAAAAGTTGATACCTCATGAAATGTGGCATTGTTGTAAATTAGTGTGCTTTTAAATGTTTTATTGTTGCAAGTTAATTTCTATAGAAATACCGTATTACTGCAAGTTAGTGGATTTATGACTCTAGTTTTGTTGCAAGTTATTGTTTAATGGAAAGCTTTAGTTTGTAGTTAATACGTTTTGTTTCACTATGTTTTATTGAAAAATAAAAAAGGGATTGAAATAGACATAGCCAGGCATGGCCAGGTACTTAGGGTGCTCGACTCGCAATCTGCGGGTCGTGGG